CAGTAGCGCATGTGCTAAAGGCGACGCAAGTTATGTTAGAATAGGGAAGGTTCGAAACCTCTTCGATGTTTTTTTTCATAAATATTTCGTTTTTTATAAAATAGATATTTTATTGGGAAGGTGCGAGCTTGACTGAATGGCACTTAATACTTTTCATTTTCTTAGTCGAATAATTTTATAAGTTTAAATTTGTTTCATCTTAAATAGCCCTCAAATACATACATGTATGTATACGCAAATACATACATATGTATATATGTATATATATATAAGTCTGCAGGCATAGCATCAAGCATTCCTTATACACGCGCTCATTTGTATGTGTATGTATGTATGTACACATAAATGCGTACTCACTGTTAAAAGACACAGTAGGTTGCGCAAAGAGCAGTCCCGTTACTTTTAATGTTAACTAACAGCTCTCTTGTGACGTCACATTATCAGATTTTGCTATGTTATCCCGGCTGAAGCTTGGAAGGCATTTCAGCAGAGATCGACTAAGTCGTCCAAAACAACCAAAACTAACTATATATAAAAAATTTTAATAGTAAATACCTTAAAAATGGTCAATCACTAATTTTATTACCATACAATAAAGAAATTAAGTATATAATGGAATGAACTGGGAGGCCTCTCGAATGCAGCAAAAATGGCCAATAAGTCAGCAGGAATGGTTGATGGACATAGTTAACTGGGTTCTCGCCATCAGTATTGTTTATTTATGCCAATTTACCTACACATTTAAATATAGTACACGTTGAAGCTGCATCAATAAAGGTGCTGCTCACCCCTGCTGTCATGTCAGAAACATCCGGTAGAATGAACTAATATTTGTGTATTAGTTGCCAAGTCGTAAACTTGTATGATTATAAGTATTGAAACCTAAGGAAACACATAATCCTCCTGAATCAGCTCTTAAAACTTAGACAGAAGCTAACAATGCTGCGTATCATCTATGGCCATCGGATTTGTAATATAAAGAATGAAATTAGTACGTATGATTATGCGGATTGATGGGAAATGCATAATACTTAGTAGTAACTTTTTAGCTTTACAAATTCAAGCCTTAGATAGTAAGGTTAAGTCCATTATATGCAAGAGTAAAAGTGGTCAAGGGATTGCATGATCAATAACTGCTTAGAAAACAATTTAGAGTATAAAAATTAGCAAAAACCTTTATATTTTCCGATTCGTGAATCTATATAGAACATGTGATTAGCCGCCCAACTCGTTTTATTTAGTCTACTAGTTTTAAGACAAATAACAGTGTCAAAGTTGCTTGATTTTCATACAAATTCAAACGCGCGCCCACCATTTTCTGAAATAATGACGTCACGCTGCCAAATCAGCTGTTCGCTTTGCATAACCTACTATCACTCAATCGTGATGCGTACTCTAGCATATTCTAAGAATCTCAGTTGCGATTGATTTGTCTTTGTATTGTTTTTGAATTTCCATACATTGGCATTTAATTGCCATATGGCGTCATAACAATAATGTGATTTCGATTTATTTACTGTTGTTTGAAACAACGCGGTGGTGCTGTAGGCAGAAGCGCCGGCGATCATTATTTTACAGAGCTTGCAAATGAGAGTTGAGCGTTTTTTCGTTTATTCTCTTCCTCGTATCATAACCAAAAAAAAATTGTGCAGACAAGTCTCTCTCTGAGCGTCACTCTCTGTTTTCTTTAGCATCTGTTTCGCTCAGACGCAATGCGATCACTCATTCGTGTGACGCTCTCACATGAGTGTCGCGTAAAACTAACACGATTTTCCCTCACACAAAGCTTCTCAGCAAAAAACACTTTGACTAAAAAACTCAGCAGAAAATGTTTTTGCCTTCGTGTGCATGTAAATACACGCATACATACATACAAAAAGAACGCAGCAATCGCGCGTGATTACCCATACAAACGCAACTTACCGTTACTTCTTTAACTCAAGCAAACGATCACTGTTTGACTTGAGGAAACGAAAACAGAAACAACTGTCTCCCTCAGAGCGCGAGAGAGCTAAGCCAGACGCGACAAAAACAGTTTCTGTCTGAGTTTTTTTGACTGTGTCAGTGAAAGACACTTTTTTGCAGACAACGAAAAAGTGTTAACAGTTTTTTGCGAGCTATGTTATTTTAGTTATTTTAACAAACATGCTATTTGGTTTGGGTGCGAGTTCAAATCCCGCGGAAAACTCTTTTTTGTAAATTGCAAATTTTTGTTATTTTAGCTTCTTTTATATTTTTTAAATTTCATAAAAATGTTTCTTTCCATATTATGAATATCTATTAAGCTTATTTATATTTGCAAATACATAAATAGATGGCTGACGCATATAAATGCCGCGATTCGGGCACTGTAAATGCCGATTGCCACGCCCCTAGTGGCCGTAGACTCCTCATTTTGGCCAGTTCTTAGAACGAGCAACCGGTTCCCTAAATGCAAAATTTGAACTCTTACGCTCAAAAAATTTTTCGATTTACCACGCCCTTAAATTGGCGTAAAAATTATTTTTGGGGCATCGATAGAGGAGGCTACCAGTAACTCAACTCTCCTAATTTCAGCTTCTAAGCTTCTAGCTCTTAAGCTGTAGGAGATATAAGCTTTTACGGTTTGCCACGCCCCCTATGGGCGTACATATATCTACCATAGCCCGTTTGACTTGGGTGGTCAACCCGCGTATATATACTAAATTTCAGGTCTCTACCATAGCAGAATTCGAAAAATCACTATATCTTCAGGTTAGATTTGCCACGCCCCTAGTAGGCGTATATATATAGTTATTATACCCATCTTTATTGAATCGAAAGCTCACGTGCAAAATTTCAGCATTCTAGACTTACAACTTTAGGAGATACAGTTTTATCCGATTTACCACGCACCTAATGGGCGGAGATATATCCGCCATATCTCGTGAATCTTGGGTGGTCGACGCGGACCTACATCCCGAATTTCAGCTTTCTAGCTCTTTAAATAACATGATTTCTAGTATATCGGAAAATGCATTTTCCGATTTGCCACGCCCCTAGTGGGCGGATCGGGAAAATTTTAACACTTTATAAATCGGAGATACACACGAGTATGTGTTCCAAATTTCAAGTCTCTAGCTTCAATAGCGCCGAAATAGACTGCGTTCATACGGACAGACGGACGGACGGACAGACAGATAGGCGGACGGACATTGCACAAAACCAATATACTCATTTCACTTTCGCGAATGAGTATAATTAAGATCTTAAACATCCATAGAGTGGAAGCAGAAATACAGACCCTTAAATTTGCAACATTGAATTTGTGTTACAGTTTTGCTCGTCACTGTAAGTCTCTAGTATTTAAAATACGCCTTTTACAAATATGTGCGTGAGGGGATGAACATACGGATGGGGAGTAAATTTTAAATTTTATTAACGAAATTCTATAGAGTACTGATCTTCGATAGTGTTTAAAATCGATAACAGAAAACCGGAAGAGCTATCGATTTTTGATGAAAAGCTCGATATGCGCTTGGTATACACGAACCTAGGAAAAACAATTCGTATATCTTCTGAGATCGACACGTTCAAACATAAGGAAAGACTGACAGGGCTGACTCAGCTCGTCGCCCTGATCAAGAATATATATACTTTATGGGGTCTGCGATGTTATATACTTTTAACAAAATAAAAACCCTGATTTCCTATTTTCAATGAGTTCAGAATATAAAAATCGATAACATAATAACGGGTACAGGGCTATATCGCTGTACATACGAACTTTGTAACCTCAAATTGAGGTCTCTAGCTCTCATACATACACTCATTATACCATTATACACTCATTATACCCTGAACCCATTGAAAATGGTTTTGTTAAAATGGTTATGTTTAAATGTATGTAACAGGCAGAAGAAGATGGGGCAGACCCCATAAAATGTATATCCAAAAATCGGTAACTTATCCCGTTAAGTTTTTATCGATAAAAAACATTATCGAAAATCAGTAATAAAATCATATCTGCTACATCTTTGAAGCGGGAGTCGTCAAATTTTAAATGTTAATTTAAAGAATTTCGATTTTTTCTATAATTCACCGCAACCCTTATATTGAGCCCCACATCCATAAACTTGTATAAGATGTCTTTCAAATATTAAAAGCTTGTGCTTTGGCAAATGCACGTATTTCAATGTTATAATCACGATCTGAAAATTTTATGAAGATAGTCCATCCACAAGAAAAGTTATTAAACAATTAAGTGCCGGTAGTAGTACCAAACTGCAGCCAATGCGTGTTTATGCGTGCGTGCGTATGCCTGTGTGGGTGCATGTGCGAATCATTAATGAAATAGCAGTTGCTCGAAGGATTCAGAGGATCTCGAAGCCATGAAAAAAACCATCAGTTTTTTTGAGAAAAACTCTATATGGAGTATAGCTGTTAGTCTATAGTCTCTTTAAAATAAATCTTCTTAAATCGACGCGGATATGGATGGGCTCACGGACAGGGCTAAATCGACCGAATCAAAAATACATACCTTATGGGGATTCCCATGCCATCTGCCGCCTGTTACATGAATTTAACAGAACCACTATACCCTGATTCTAAATGGGTTAAAGGTATAAACCTCATATTCATGGGGTTAATTGTAACAAGTAACCGCCTGTGTGATACTCGTCTACTATTGTCGTTTGGAAACAACTAAATGTATCGGTGGAATCGGGTATTCCCACTTCATACATTAAATTCTAGTGAATAATCGATTTTTCTACAGCCCCAGTATATGTTATAAGTTTCGTGTTTGTAGCTTCAATAACGTACAAATGGATCATACGATCGGAAAGCAAGACGGACATTGCACAAAACCAATATTTGTTCTTCCCTTTTGAATAGAGTATAATGAAAATGATGACACGAGGTATCTAGATCGGATCACAATTTTTTTTTCATTAATTTATCTGGTTGCTGTTAAAGGTTACTTTTATTTATATAACTAATTAGTCGTAAATGTTTTATTAATATGGTTTTAATTAACTTACGCCTGTTGCGACTCGTCCAGAAAGTTTAAGTTCTTGCTATTATCTCGAGCATTTATCAAAAGGGAACAGGAAAGTAGAAACGTATCGTACAGTTGGTGATCTCGGTAAGATGTAGCTATCTTACGGTTTTTAGAGAATGACAAGTGTGCATCTAGCTCCACAATTGAATTCATTTCTGTTACCAACTGCGACAGAATTTGTACGCCAATAGTACAATGCTCAACCGAGCCCTATTCAATGAAACAAGTGCATTGCTTTTAAGGATGGATAGCATTTTTAATATTTACGTACCTGTAAAAACTTTTTTACGTCCTCAAGTATGTTTTGAAAGATGAATTCTCCCTTGCATGAATCGAACCATCCATATTTTGTAATTTTTGCTAAAAGTGTTACAAGTGCTTGTACTACAAAGTGTTGCAAATTAAGTCTGGTTGCCAAATAGTTGAGGGCATAGCTGCGAATATCAATGCGTTGTCCGAGAGTTATACCTTGAATGAGTTTTGTGAGGGTAGAAGCTGCAAGAAGTTGTGCATAACTGGAATCAGCTCGATCTAGCAGTAACTGGCATTTTGGTAAAGCATCGTTGCTATTAACAAATATCGCCAGTCTCTTTTCAGCATCAGCACGTATGTTTGCATCTGTCGCTTCATACAGCTGCTTGCACAATATTTCCAATTGTTGGATTTCCTACATCAAATAAATTATTACAATACATATAAGTATTTCTTGTTAATTGCAAATTAAATTTTAGTTTCACATAAAATACATGCTTTTGACTTAAATTTAAAAAAATGCAAATGGATGTAAATACATATGTACATACATATACGAAATAGATATATACATATATGTACATGTACAAATATGTATATATGTACATCCATATGTATGAGTATCCAATTGACGATATCTTATACCAAGTCTTACAAATTTGAGTAGTCAGCAATCATATGTATATCCACATATGCATGTATGTATGAACATAAAAACGAGTTACTAAACATATACATATGTATATGTACATATTTTCTATGTAAATACATACATACATACATATGTTTCAATCTTCATAATACTAAACCATTTTCATCTTAAATTACTAAACATCAATGCCAATTTACTACAACGTATTATTTTGTAATGGTCGCAAGCCAAACAAAAAAAATAAGGGTAAATAAAAATAACGAAAGAAATAGTTCAAAAAGTACGCGCGCTTGCAAAAGCTTTGAAAAGGTACAGCGAACCTTTTTCAGTGCTTGCAGCGCTGCATTGAGAGCTTTCGGTGGGTGCCGAAAAGTTGTCGCGCACGCGCAACAGCTGATCTTGTCGCGCTGTGCGAATTCTGCAGCGACAAATATTAGTGCAGCCAACTTTAGGGGCAATAAAACCTGTAAGCTTTTATCTACCCAAAGCTATATAAGCCGAAAAAGTGCAAAATTGAGCCCTTTTTCTAGAACTCCACGTTGCGACTTTACACTAAATCCATATATATATATGTATATAATATATATACATATATGGTGAGGAACTCGTGCGCTGCAATAATTAATAAAGGTACGAAGATTGGCATATTGTGGCATATTAGCTAAATAAAGCAACTTTTTCTCTAGCGCAGCAACAAATTTTCTTGACGCCCGTGTCAAATTTGGGCACGGCAATATAGAAAAAGCCTGCCCTAGACACGGGCTCTGTTTTAATTTTTTTGGCCCATCAAGATCGATCGCAGCAACTTTATCGAAAGGCTGGAGGAACTTCAACAGCAGGCGGGGGAAACACAAACGTGAATCGTGGCTCATAAATTGCATAGTGACAATTAAACCTATAAAACTTTTAACCCCAAAAACTCTAAGCCGCGAAAATCTAAAAGTGGAAAAAAAAAAAACTACACACAGTCAAGAACAAAAACTCTAGTTCTACCATAATCAACTAAACGAAAAAAAAAAAAAGAACAAAACCCACACTTCAATTACATATGTGACGTACACTGTAAAAATTTTGCTACTAGCAACTAAAATAGTTCACCAAATTAAAAGAAGAAAAATGTAAAATTAAAACCCACGACTTAAAACTAGCATGAAAATAGAAAAAATAATACGATGACGTAAAAAAAAAAAAAAAAAAAAAAAAAAAACATCAATAACATAATAATGAAATAATAAACTTTATCATATATATGCATATATATATATATATATAGATACATATATGCACATATAAAAGTAGAACAATATCAAAAAAAAAAAAAAAAAAAAAAAACATGAAGTAAAAGAAATAATAAAAGAAATTATATATAAATGTAGAACAAAAAAAAAAAAATAAATAAATAAAAGAAAAAATTATTTTTGTTTAAAAAAAAAAAAATAAATAAATAAAAAATCGAAAAAGTAAGAAAGAAAAAATAATAATAATTTGAATAGATATAAATATAAAAAGAAGTATAAAAATGTAAAGGTAAAAGAAAAAAAAAAAAACAACAAAAACTGTGTGTTTGTCCGCCCCTATATTCTTTTTGTAACCTCAACGCCACGCTACAGCTACCACGAGGAAAGGCCTTTCATCGCTGGAGTGAAAAAATCTAAAGATCATGTAAGTGCTGGAAGATACCCTGTACTCCCACTCCCCCCAACCCCAAACCATTATATTTTTTTTACATGAATTAATATATACAAAAAAAAAAAAAAAAAAACAAGTAATAATATAATGTTTGGAAATAATTGCATGCAAGAATGAAGCAAAGCATATTTTTTTTTTTAAATTAAAATAATTTGTTTTGCAACCACATTTTTAAATAAAATTATTAAGACCATTTTTCTTTATATTTATATCTATTTGTTTGCCAAGTGAATTAAACTAAATGATTTCACCTAAATTATGAAAAAAAAAGAGGTAAAATAAACAGAGAAATAAATAAATAAATAAATAAAGTAGATAAATAAACCAAATTTAATAAGTTAAATCTATATAAATATATATCTATATATAAATATATATAAAAAAAAAATAATAATAATAATAATAATCATATTAAATAAAATGAACAATTAAATAAATTAATGAAATAAATAAAACAAACTTAGCATGAAATGAGGAAAAAAAAAATGAGAATATAAATATGAAATAAATAAATAACAAATAAATAGGATTGAATAGCAAGAAAGATTTACGATAGAAAATAGAACAATTTAAAGAATAGCATAAAAAAAAAAAAAAAAAGAGAAAAAAAAAAAAAAAAAACAAAAAACTAATAATAATGTAAAATAATAATGTAGAATAATAACAACATTGTTTGTATAAGAAAAATAATCGATTGTAATCTTAGTATCCCAATGTCTAGATATTATTTAAATGAATGGAAATGAATATTATGAATAATAGGAATGAAACCAAGAACAATATGAGTCATTAATCTGGAAGAAGGGTTGAAATAATGGGGTAGGCTAGTTAGTGTTGGAGCTTCTTTGGGGTTTTTCTGGTAAAATTGTTTGTGAAAAACCATGGTTGGGTGGGTAAAGAGCGCGTGTGCCGAATGCCATCTATGGCCACGCTTAGTTGTGTCGGTGTTCTTGATGTAAATTTGTGCCCGTTCTTCCCCTAATTCCTCAGTATAATTTGTTTTTTTTCGTGGAGTATAGCTCCACCTCGAGTTTAAGGGATCTTACAAATTAAAATTTATGAACTCTGATCGCAAGGCAGAAAAGAACCCCCCCCACACTCCCGACGAGCGACGGCACAAGAAGGTCCCGCTTATCTGTCTTGCGACCGAAAAACAAAGCCAAGTCAGTGCTTTGTAGAGAGAGTTCTCTGCTGAATGAACACTTTTGTTTACATAAATTTTTGGCGCCCAACGTGGGGCATGAAAGTATGCAGCTTTATAGGCATCACGCTTTCAGAGTCCCATTTTTAATGTTCAAATAATCAACACGGTCTTTTCTCTAATCGCAGAAAAAGAGTTGGCTGTTTGAAACACCCATTTTGGTGATGGTTGAAAACTCAGTGTCCAGAGTGCTGAAATAGATTGGACTTGCTTGGTCGGCCTATCGCAACTGTGACAGATGAGTCAAATCAATTCTTAATAGGGACTACGAAGCTGAAAGATTCGAGCTGAATCTCAGACCGAGAAACCCGAATAAGATAAATTCAACTTATAATAACACCTGTATCACCATGTTTGCTCGTTTGTCTTCGTATAGTTGTTATTTCATTTAGATATTATTTTAATTGTGTTTTGTAAAATTATCAGATACGATTCCAGAATATTGTATATTGGGCCCAGCTCGGATATCAATACTGATTGTTCTCTGGTAGTTGTTGCAGGGCCAAATGAGATGAATCTGGGTGCAATATAAACTCATACCCGTCTGGCCAGTAGATGTTGTTATGACAGAAGTTGCTAAATGTTGAGAGTGTTGTCTGGAACTTGTGTATATGCTGCATTGGCGTATCCTTGCCGAACACTCACACTTTAGTTAACTTTTGCATAGCAATACTCTATAACCAGTTTTAGTAGCAATAGCCCAAAATCCATTATTTCCCCTAATTGTATAATATAGCAAGAACAGCACACAACAGCACAAAACCTAGCTACCTTCCCCATTATATCAACCCAAACTTGTTACATTCATTAGCAAATTAAAAATATTTAGATACAAAATGCCTATTTCAAGAAGTCCTCAAGATATGCGCACAGTAGAGAAAACTGTTAGTTTGTGTAGTCTTTGTAGCCAAGGGATGAGCAATACCCAGCAATGTTATTGTACCCCTTGTAAGCACAATTTTCACAAGTTATGTCTAGAACAGTGGCTGGAAAATAAGCAAGAATGTCCGGAATGTCAGTCCACATTGGACCCAAGGTCAATTAAGCTGGTTATTGGTAACTGTTCACCTGACCCGAAACCAGCTTCAACATCAGCAATTCCAGGTAGTTCGCGTATGGTAACGCGTAATTTAGCCAAAGCATTAGGTGAAGTTCCGCCTGAGTCTCTAGAGCATCCCCAAGAGCGATCGCTCGAAGGCAGTGAGGTAATTATATCCGGTTTAGATGCAAGCCATAATTCTGACCGAAACGTAGTTCCTCCTCCAAGAGGCATTAGTACCCGCCGACGAGGCCGACCCAATCGAGCCGGCCATACTCGTCAAGAATCGGCAGGCGTTGATTATAATATAATTCAGCAAATGATCGAGCAGTCAGTCACTCGTGTGATGTCGGCGCTCCGTATTGATTCACGGCCCAGCTCAAGCGAGCAGCTGCCGTCTATTCCGACTCCTATGGCATACTCGCCAGGAGGTTCGTCTGTCCAAAGCAGAAGAACAGCTGACATTATGCAGAAATGGAATCTCCATTTTGATGGGTCATCTGAAGGACTAGGAGTGGAAGAATTTATTTATCGTGTGAGAGTCCTTACTGACGAAACTCTCGATAGTGATTTTATGGGGCTTTGCAAACATTTGCACATTCTTTTCTCTGGGAAAGCTAGAGATTGGTTCTGGATGCTCCCCTTATAGAGCTTTATTTGGGTTAGATATGATAACTCATGGTTCAGACTACAAGTTGATAAAGCAATTAACATTGCTTGAAGAACCATTAGTACCACTATCTCGATCAGATAACTTATCCCTAATTCGTAAAGATATACAGGCCAACATAAAACAAGCTTATGAACGAAATGTTAAACAGTATAATTTACGTTCTAAGCCTGTTACATTTAGGGAAGGGCAGGAAGTGTATCGCCGAAATTTTTCACTTAGCAAATTCGCTCACAATTATAATGCGAAATTAGCACCCCAATTTTTGAAATGTAGAGTGAAAAAGAAACTAGGAAATTGCTTTTATCTTTTAGAGAATTTGCAAGGTCAAGAGATAGGTACCTTTCATGCCAAAGACATTAAGCAATAGACATCCGAACATATTCCCGCTAATATTCCGTCTAACGGTGGTATATTATCGGGTGGTGTAATGGTCGCAAGCCAAACAAAAAAAATAAGGGTAAATAAAAATAACGAAAGAAATAGTTCAAAAAGTACGCGCGCTTGCAAAAGCTTTGAAAAGGTACAGCGAACCTTTTTCAGTGCTTGCAGCGCTGCATTGAGAGCTTTCGGTGGGTGCCGAAAAGTTGTCGCGCACGCGCAACAGCTGATCTTGTCGCGCTGTGCGAATTCTGCAGCGACAAATATTAGTGCAGCCAACTTTAGGGGCAATAAAACCTGTAAGCTTTTATCTACCCAAAGCTATATAAGCCGAAAAAGTGCAAAATTGAGCCCTTTTTCTAGAACTCCACGTTGCGACTTTACACTAAATCCATATATATATATGTATATAATATATATACATATATGGTGAGGAACTCGTGCGCTGCAATAATTAATAAAGGTACGAAGATTGGCATATTGTGGCATATTAGCTAAATAAAGCAACTTTTTTCTCTAGCGCAGCAACAAATTTTTCTTGACGCCCGTGTCAAATTTGGGCACGGCAATATAGAAAAGCCTGCCCTAGACACGGGCTCTGTTTTAATTTTTTTGGCCCATCAAGATCGATCGCAGCAACTTTATCGAAAGGCTGGAGGAACTTCAACAGCAGGCGGGGGAAACACAAACGTGAATCGTGGCTCATAAATTGCATAGTGACAATTAAACCTATAAAACTTTTAACCCCAAAAACTCTAAGCCGCGAAAATCTAAAAGTGGAAAAAAAAAAACTACACACAGTCAAGAACAAAAACTCTAGTTCTACCATAATCAACTAAACGAAAAAAAAAAAAAAGAACAAAACCCACACTTCAATTACATATGTGACGTACACTGTAAAAATTTTGCTACTAGCAACTAAAATAGTTCACCAAATTAAAAGAAGAAAAATGTAAAATTAAAACCCACGACTTAAAACTAGCATGAAAATAGAAAAAATAATACGATGACGTAAAAAAAAAAAAAAAAAAAAAAAAAAAAACATCAATAACATAATAATGAAATAATAAAATTTATCATATATATGCATATATATATATATATATATAGATACATATATGCACATATAAAAGTAGAACAATACCAAAAAAAAAAAAAAAAAAAAAACATGAAGTAAAAGAAATAATAAAAGAAATTATATATAAATGTATAACAAAAAAAAAAAAATAAATAAATAAAAGAAAAATATTATTTTTGTTTTAAAAAAAAAATAAATAAATAAAAAATCGAAAAAGTAAGAAAGAAAAAATAATAATAATTTGAATAGATATAAATATAAAAAGAAGTATAAAAATGTAAAGGTAAAAAAAAAAAAAAAAAAAACAACAAAAACTGTGTGTTTGTCCGCCCCTATATTCTTTTTGTAACCTCAACGCCACGCTACAGCTACCACGAGGAAAGGCCTTTCATCGCTGGAGTGAAAAAATCTAAAGATCATGTAAGTGCTGGAAGATACCCTGTACTCCCACTCCCCCAACCCCAAACCATTATATTTTTTTTACATGAATTAATATATACAAAAAAAAAAAAAAAAAAAACAAGTAATAATATAATGTTTGGAAATAATTGCATGCAAGAATGAAGCAAAGCATATTTTTTTTTTTTAAATTAAAATAATTTGTTTTGCAACCACATTTTTAAATAAAATTATTAAGACCATTTTTCTTTATATTTATATCTATTTGTTTGCCAAGTGAATTAAACTAAATGATTTCACCTAAATTATGAAAAAAAAAGAGGTAAAATAAACAGAGAAATAAATAAATAAATAAATAAAGTAGATAAATAAACCAAATTTAATAAGTTAAATCTATATAAATATATATCTATATATAAATATATATAAAAAAAAAATAATAATAATAATAATAATCATATTAAATAAAATGAACAATTAAATAAATTAATGAAATAAATAAAACAAACTTAGCATGAAATGAGAAAAAAAAAAATGAGAATATAAATATGAAATAAATAAATAACAAATAAATAGGATTGAATAGCAAGAAAGATTTACGATAGAAAATAGAACAATTTAAAGAATAGCATAAAAAAAAAAAAAAAGAAAAAAAAAAAAAAAAAAACAAAAAACTAATAATAATGTAAAATAATAATGTAGAATAATAACAACATTGTTTGTATAAGAAAAATAATCGATTGTAATCTTAGTATCCCAATGTCTAGATATTATTTAAATGAATGGAAATGAATATTATGAATAATAGGAATGAAACCAAGAACAATATGAGTCATTAATCTGGAAGAAGGGTTGAAATAATGGGGTAGGCTAGTTAGTGTTGGAGCTTCTTTGGGGTTTTTCTGGTAAAATTGTTTGTGAAAAACCATGGTTGGGTGGGTAAAGAGCGCGTGTGCCGAATGCCATCTATGGCCACGCTTAGTTGTGTCGGTGTTCTTGATGTAAATTTGTGCCCGTTCTTCCCCTAATTCCTCAGTATAATTTGTTTTTTTTTTCGTGGAGTATAGCTCCACCTCGAGTTTAAGGGATCTTACAAATTAAAATTTATGAACTCTGATCGCAAGGCAGAAAAGAACCCCCCCACACTCCCGACGAGCGACGGCACAAGAAGGTCCCGCTTATCTGTCTTGCGACCGAAAAACAAAGCCAAGTCAGTGCTTTGTAGAGAGAGTCTCTCTGCTGAATGAACACTTTTGTTTACAATTTTTCTAATTGTAAAAAAACTAGCTTGCTTTAATTAATATTCACAAAGCGGCACAAGAATTCATCGCTAATTTTGTATAGACTAATAAATTAATTATAAATTTACCATAATGCTTTTTTTGTGGTTCTCAATGGTTAATGGTTAATGGGGTTTTAATGATTGGCTACGACAGATTCAAGCAAAATAGGTTGTTTTCTTAAGCGTTGCACTGTTTAAAAATTCAACTACAGCAAAGTCCCTTCTTTAAGTACGAATTAAATTAAAATTCTAAACTGAAAGTACATAAATTGAACTCGCCCATTACTAAGTTTATCTACAGTGATGCTAATCTAGCTATTTTAAAGCCAAATCTATCATTCAATGCCTTTTGTACTGCTATCAAGGTCTATGCCAAGAATACTATCACTAGCCAGAGAACACGTAGACTAGACATGTAGAACAAACTTTTCTACAGCAGAAAATGTTAAGTTGGTGGAGCACTATACTTCGTATTTGATCGCCTCGGTCGCTGGAGGTTCGAGCAGTGAAAATATTGCACGACAAAGTTAGTACGCTGCAAGCGCTCAACTGAAATGGTTCCATTCTTATATGAAGCACAGCTATGCGCTATTTGTCCTACTCTCTCTCTCTCTCTCTCTCGCTCTATCTCTCTCTACGGTCTCTCAAATCACCGAACTCAGCAGCTCACACAAATTGAATTTTGTTCGCGACGATCCCAACTCTTTCCTTTTGAGTGAAGAGTATACCTAAATCATAAAAGCGTTTGTCAGGCTCATGCAAACAAAATCTAGCGTTTCGATGGATATTCGTGGGAAGGGTATAAGAGCGTTGATGCGCATAAAAAATATAATTTCCCAACGGGCAAGCACACACACTTGCTGTCTCTGGAAACATATGTGAGCATTTGTAACTTTTGCTGCCTGAGCAAATTGTAATGCCGAAAATTTACCGTTGGTCGGTCTCGTGAGTGAGCACATACATACATTTGCATTTGGTTAGTGCTACTATGCTTCTTATGCCCTGAACCACTAACCAAACAACACATAGACTCGACATGTAAAACAAACTTTTCAACACCGAAAGATCTGTCTAATAGCTACCAATTACTTCGTATTCGCTCGGCTCTTCACTTTTAGGTTCAGGTTACTAAAATACGAAAGCACAATCATTTCGCTTCATGCGCTCAACCGAGATGGTCAAATGTTGAATAAACAAGTAAGAAGGCTCCAGTCGAGACTGCTCGACTAGGAGATACCCTGAACCCTTTAAGCTGATATTCTAATCATTCTGGACTTCTTTTATGCATACATACATACACGTGCACTTATAAGCACGCGCTCTGCTAACTGCGCAGTAAGCAGCGACTGCGCTTGGGCTGCGCTGCAATGTGGGCAATATTATGACAATTTATTTGTCGAATAATTTCTTTTGTAGACATACATCTTAATGAAACTTTCAGTGTGTATTCATATGGTTAAAATGTGTGTACATTCCAAAGCAAAAGTCTCTAGTATTTGAAATTCGTTTTTTACAAATCGGGGGTGAAGGGGGCGTGGTATCCAAAATCTGTAAATGACAAAATCTTTGTGTCCATTAACTCTATATACAACGCAAATTTGAAGTCACCAGGTTTAGTGTTCAAACTAGGCTGAAAAAACCAAGTCGATTTTTCGATTATTCCCGATAAAAAAAGTTATCGGATGAGCTATCGAAAAAATAAAGCAAACTCGTACTGCCTATGGTATACACGAGTATGCATGCCAAATTTCAGCTCTCTAGCTCTTATATCTTCTGAGATCCTTTTGCTCATACAGACGGACGGACGGACGGACGGACGGACAGACGGACAGGGCTATATCGACTCAGCTCGTCGTCCTGATCAAGAATATATATCCTTTATGGGGTCTGCGATGATTCCTTCTGCCTGTTACATACTTTTCACAAAACCATTATACCCTGATTTCCCATTTTCAATGGGTTCAGGGTATAAAAATGCCTCTATGCTCAATTTTTGTTCTTGCTCCCTCGCTTTCTCTGCTCTCTGTTCTCTCAAATATGTATATGTATGTATGCATGCGAGCACAAGCAGCAGCTCACGAAAATTGAAATTTCTTCGCGTGAGACTGCCGTTTCTTCCCTTCTGTGTGAAGAGTATTCCGAACTCTTCAAACCGTTTACCAAGCTCGTACAAAATATTTGCGTTTTCGTTATTATTTGTGGGAAGGGTATGAAAGCGTTGGTGCGCATAATGAAAATGTTTTCGCGATGAGCATGCACACACACACTCTCGCTTGCTACATGTACCATGAGCATTTCTATGCCTGTGTGCGAAGCTCACTGTAGCAATTTTACAGTCCAGCATTTGCATCTGGTCGATATTGTGATGTGCTCACATACATATGTATGTATGTATATACATTTGATTGTGTGTACGCATGGGATGTGCTGCTCACAATTATGGGAACTTGTAGAAGCATTTGTATGCCTGTGTGCCTTTACATGTGCGTGTGTGTATATCTTTGTTTGTATGCAGGAGATGAACATTGGCGTGTGCCTACCTCAACTTTTAATGGTGTGAACGATTTTGCGTTTTAATTAATTTGAATAGCTGACTAACTAAAGTGACAAGTGCTCTTCCCAATACTTTTTATAAGTTTTTTTTTTTTACTTGCATGCACCTGTATATGTACATATGTGCATATATGGAGATATAAGAGCTAGAGACTTGAATTTTTTTCAAATGTCAGTATGTATAGCGCGGATATCGAGTTTATCTTCGAAAATCCATAAATGTTCCCGTTTTTTATACCCTGAACCCATTGAAAATAGGAAATCAGGGTATAATGGTTTTGTTAAAAGTATGTAACAGCACTAACCAGAGAACACATAGACTAGACATCTAGAACAAATTTTTTCACCGACGAAAAAATGCGCTGAGGAGACTACACATCTTCGTATTTGCTCGGCTCAGTCTCTTGAGGCTCAAGCATTGAAAATAAGGCAAGACAAAACAAGTAAGAAGGCTCCAGTCGAGACGGCTCGACTAGGAGATACCCTGAACCCTCTAAGCTGATACTCTAGTTATTCTGCACTTCTTTTATGCACACATACATACACATGCATCCACACGCACGCATAAGCCTGCACTCTGCTAACTGCGCAGTAAGCAGCGACTGCGCTTGGGCTGCGCAGCAGTGTGGGCAATATTATGAGAATTTATTTGTTGGATAATTTCTTTTGTAGACATATGATCCTAATGAAACTTTCTGAGCGTAATCATATGGTAAATATGTGTATACATTCCAAAGCACAAGTCTCTAGTACTTGAAATGCGTTTTTTACAAATTGGGGGTGAAGGGGGCATGGTATCCAAAATGTGAAAATAACAAAATCTTTTTATCGATTAACTTTATATACAACACGAATTTGAAGACTCCAGGTCTAAAAGTGTTCAAATTAGGCTGAAAAAACAATGTCGATTATTCTCGATAAAAAAGTTATCGGATGAGTTATCGAAAAAATAAAGCAAACTTGTACTGCCTATGGTATACACGAGTATGCATGCCAAATTTCAGCTCTCTAGCTCTTATATCTTCTGAGATCCTTTTGCTCATACGGACGGACGGACGGACAGACGGACAGGGCTAAATCGACTCAGCTCGTCGACCTGATCTGGAATATATATACTTTGTGGGGTCTGCCACGCCTCCTTCTGCCTGTTACATACTTTTCACAAAACCATTATACCCTGATTTCCCATTTTCAATGGGTTCAGGGTATAATCAGTGTGCTGCGACTGCTGCCACGAAATGCACGCATTACTAAATGAAGCACGGCTATGCGCTCTTTTTCCCTTACTCACTCTCTCCCTCTCTTTATGCTCTCTCTCTCTCTCTCTCTCTATATGGTCTTTCAAATAGCAGCAGCGCACAGAAATTGAATATTGTTCGCGACGATCCCAGCTCTTTCCTCTTGAGTGAAGGGTATACCGAAATCATAAAAGCATTTGTCACGCTCATGCAAACAAAATGTAAGCGTTTCGATGGTTATTCGTGGGAAGGGTATGAAAGCGTTGATACGCATAAACAATATTATTTCGCGACGGGCAAGTACACACACACTTGTAGTCCCTTGCTACATGTATGAGCATTTGTGACCTGCGTGCGTTACTCTTGCTGCTTGTAGCAATTTTAAAGCCCAGCATTTGCATTTGGTCGTTCTTACGGACTGTCATAACCACTTTAAACAGATGTACTATGTATGAACATACATACATATGTACATAAGTACATTTATATATTATTATTGCTAATCATGTTTATAAATGTGTTTATATCCGTAAATAATTATATATAATTAAAATTATTTTATACACATTTTTAACCGAAAAAATTATCGTAAAACACTACTAACTTTATTAAATGCTTTGCAATATATGAAATACACATGTCATATTATACTCAAGCTTTACTCATTATTGTCAAAAATTTCTAATTAAGTCATAATGGCCCATTTGATAGTCACCCTACGATTCAAATCATACAAAATTTACAAACTACTAAATCCGGAGACAATTAGCTTGCCATCCCATACAAGCATACACATACACAAATGTATGTATGCATGTGCTCACTTCACAAGGCAGACCAACGGCAAATTTTGGGCTGATAATAACGTAGCAAGGATGTAAATGTGTGTGTGCATGCTCGTCGCGAAAATGTATTCTTTCTGTGCACAACACCCTGTGCAAATTGTAAAGTTCAAAATTTGCCGTTGGTCTGCCTTGTGAAGTGAGCACAACCAACCAGTCAGTATTCTATCACAATTGTATAGCAGGGCATTCCCCGCTAGTTCGGTTTTGTTATTGTTAATATAATGGTCTGTGAGGTAATGGGGACAAACTACAAACCATGCAGCTCATGCTTTATTTTCTCTAACTCTCAGTTTATTCAATTCACTTTCCTCTTTTAACTTATTCTTGCGACTTAAAAACGCCCGCATTCGCGCGCCGTTCTTATTTTGTCTATGCTCATTGTCTCTTTTGAATCGCGTGCGCTCGCGCCGAATCCCCGAAATTAACTAACTCTGCTAACTTACGCACTACATATGGAATCTAAAATTAAAATGCAAAACATCAGTGGCTTACGAACTACAAATTAAACCTTATTATCTAACTTACGCACTACTAAAAGCTGCTTGCTACGGCGCGAGCAGATAACGCAATGTAAGGTGATTCGCTGTCGATACACATCGCATATGCATAAATATAAGTTAACTCCGCCAACCTAGGCGAGGCCTAG